TGATGGGGTGGTTGGGTCAATCTTAGACCACCGGCACCAGCGACAGAAAGCGGACCACGTGGCCTTGTATATACAATTTGTTGAGGACAGTCTGGATGCTTGTATGGTGGCAATGGCATCCTCTGAAATCTGTTGGGTCCTTAAACAGCTCCGCTCAACCTCCATATGGCTAGGCTAAGCCATTGTAGGTCCGGGTGAAGTACCGGCCCTTGCGAGAGGAAAACCCTTGATGGTAGAATTTTCCAAGGTTGTTCTCTCGACAGATCCTGTAAGTCCGCGAACCACGTTCGCCTGGGCCAGTAAGGGATGACTAATATCAATTCCGCTTGTTCCTCCAATAACTTCTGGATCAACCTGGGTATTACAGGGAGTGGAGGAAACACATATAGAAGTCCGGGATGCGACCGACATCGCAGGCTGTTGATGGCCTCCGCCCCCTGAGTCGGGTACCTTGAAATATACCGGGGCAATTGGGCAATGAGGGGAGAGGTAAATAGATCAATCACCGGTTGCCCAAACCTCCGCACTGCTTCCTGGAAGAAAGACGGGTGTACGCGCCACTCTGTCTGATCTATCGTGGCCCTGCTGAGCGAGTCCACTTGTGTGTTTTAGGCCCCTGCTATGTGCTCTGCCTTGAGCAAAAACAGATTGGCCTCGGTCCACTTGAACAACCTGGCCGTCTCCAGGATCAGAAGTTTGGAGTGGGTACCCCCCTGTCTGTTTACGGGGGCCTTGGTTGAGATATTGTCTGTCAAGACCAGAACGTGGCATGATTGAAAAAGGGGTAGAAAACTACGTAACGCCAGATGAACTGCTCGCAGCTCCAACAGGTTGATGCTTTGTGATTGTTCGGAAATAGTCCAACTTCCCTGTGCAGTGTGGGATTGGAAGTTAGTTTCCCATCCTACCAGGCTGGCATCGGTTGTGAACCTTGCCCTGCAAGGTTCCTTGAAAGGACACCCCTTGTTTATCGTGTTTTCAGACCACCAGCGGAGCGATCGGAGAACATTGTGCGGTACCTTTATCCGGACGTTGGAAGTGGCTCTTCCGGGTCGCTGGAAAGGTAGCAGGAACCATTGCAGATCTCTAGAATGGAATCGAGCCCAAGGCACAATGGAAATACAAGAAATCAGTTTCCCTAACAGTTGAGACAGAACTGCCAGGGAAACCCTCTTTAAGGCTCTGATCTCTCTGGCCAAAGACTGGATACTATTCATTCTGTCCTGAGAGAGAAAAACCTTGCCCTCCACGGTATCTATCACTGCCCCTAAATGAACTAACCTAGTTGAAGGGATCAAATGGCTTTTATCCCAATTTATGGAAAAGCCGTGACCTTGAAGGGTCTCCAGAGTAATCTTGGTATCCAAATTTGCTGGAAGATGACAAAATTAAAATATCATCCAGATAACATTGTAAACGAATAGATTTGATCCTGAGGGAGGCAGCCAAAGCCGCTAGGACCTTGGTAAAAGTCCTAGGGGCCAAAGCCAGACCAAATGGTAGGGTGATATATTCGTAGTGCCGATCACAATAGCAAAATCTAAGATATTTGTGGTGAGCAGGTCTAATTGGTATATGTAGATAAGCCTCTGTCAGATCTATAGAGGTCAGGATGTCATTCTCTGATGCTGAGCAGAATGGACTGGAGAGTAGTCATCTTGAATTTTCGATAAACCAATGATCTGTTCAGACGTTTGAGGTCCAGAATTGCCCTCTAGCCCCCCGAACTCTTTGGGACCACAAACAATAGAGAGTAACAGTCTTGACCCCGTTGTTAGATAGGACCTCTCTAATGGCCCGAATATGCAGAAGATGATTGATAGCCTCCTGCATCAACGCTCTCTTAATGGGGTCCGTGGACCTAGGGCTCCTAATGAAAAAGTTCGGGGGGGCGGGAGGATTGAAACTCTAGCGCCAAACCAAACCTAACAGAGTCCCACGCATCAGAGGTGGAGCTGTCCGATTGATCAGCAAACAATTTTAGCCGTCCTCCAAAGGGAGCTGCTGTCAAGGACTCACTTGGGGCGACAAAAAAATCGGCCTCCGGTACCTCTGCAGTTTCTTCTGTTTTGGCCTCCCCGCTGACCTCTATCAGAAGATTCCGACCTGTCCTGTCTAAAACTGGGCCTGTAGCCTGATGTTCTCTGCGATCTGGGAACGTATGGGCCTTGATAGTAGGGCCGAAAGGAGCCCCTTCAAAATGACTGGGGCATTGTTTTCAGACCTCCGAAAAAGTGGGGGAACCACTTTTTTCTTGTTTCTATTCTCAATAAGCAGGGGCTCCAAGACACTGCCAAATAATTTATCCTCTGATATTGGGGCTGACGCCAGCTTGCATTTATGCTTGGTATCCACCTGCCAATGTCTGAGCCATAGCAGTCTCCGTGCTGATACGTGAGATGCTATGGCTCTAGATGAGAATTTTACTGCATTAAATGTGGTGTCGGCGGAGAATTCTGCCGCTGCAATAATCTTAGCAATGTCCTGGTGGGCTCTGACATTTGACGCCGGCAATATATCCCTCCAGTGGAAGAGCCATCATAGGGAAGACCGTGTAAAAAAGGACGCAGCTGTAGCTGCCTTAATGGTCCAGGCGTCAGAAACATGCGCCCTTCTGCTCTCTTTTCCTCCGGTCTCAGGGCTTCCTCAGCCTCGTTGGGAAAGGTTGAAGAAGGGGCCAGTGCCACAATGGGCTCATCCACCTCCGGCGTTTTGAGAAAATTTGAAAACTCTGGTGCCAAATTATAATATCGTTTATCATACCCTGTTGGGGCTGGGTAGGATGCTGCTGATGCCCAGCAAACATACGAGGGACAGGAATAGTTTCTGCCTCATTAGCCGGTTGTGAGAATATTAGATCCTCAGATTCGTCCTGAGACCCTGTTGACAATGGATGAGGGCTTGATGTGACTAATTTCATGGTGTTCTTTGCTTTGAACAGTAAAGATTTAAAGAGGTGCGAGCGAAAAAGGCCAGCAAAGGTAGGTTGGTCCGGAATGAAGCCTTCATCATCCGACATTCCTCGTTCTAATGGGTCAGCCTCTGAGAACCCCAAGTCCATCTGATGGATCGACCCCACCTCCATGGGAACATCCTGGTCTGATCTTTTTTTAAAAAATTCTTTTTAAAAAAATTATTATTATTATTATTAATAATAATAATAATAATAATAATAATAATAATAATAATAATAATAATAATTTGTACTTAGGGGTGCTGTCTACCCGTGGTTGAAAGTAGAACGCTTTTCCAGGAGTGTAAGTCTATATCTATCTATCTACACACATATACACAAGCGCTCCAAGCAAGAAATATTCTGGATTCCTGGCCCCCAACAAGGGAAACCAGCTATACAGAGCCTGGATGGATCCTTTCCTGTCAAAAATGTCCTGCTGTTTGAAATGGCACTTGCGGCTTCACTCCAATGTAATGATCCAAAAGCAATTATAAAAGGAAAAAATTCCTGTTTAAGGACTAGCCTGCTTACCCAACGCCAGCAAGATAAAAGAGAAATAATGCCAGGGAAGTGGAGTGGGAAGGTACTCGCCCCAGTCGCCAAGAAGGAAAACCAGTGGGGAATGGCGCCTGTGATATTTAGACGCGAACTAGAAGCCAGCCGTTGAAAATGGCGGGAAGGCAGAATCTCCGATGTTAATTGCCTGAGCAGTTTAACGAGCCGCTGCTGCTGACTCTCTAAATTGTCAGATAAATGATCCTGTCAGTCAAAACGGCAAGGAGAAGTGAGCCGCGGCTGCGAGAGCTCCGCCAAGATCACAGAGATAAGACGATCGGGGGATTAGATAGGCTAATTGCCTGAAGAACTGCTCTCAAACTGATCGGGGGGATAATCTAATAGAGCCACAAGCCTTGAAATCGCCAAATTGGGGAAAAATGTACAAGCCGAATTAACCCAAGAGCAAACCTGAATTTTGACTAGCTGAATCAGAAAACAGTTCCAGTCAGGGAGTGCACAACCTCTTACCACGAAGGCTGAGCTAAAAACTGGGGGACGCTGGGGAGGTGTCCCGTGGAGGAGGAGGAGCGTCCCGGAGTTTTAAGCCCAGTCTTTCCAGAAGAGACTGAAGCACCTCCCACTTCTGGATGCTCTGAACAGCTCATGGGAAAAAGGGAATAAGAAAAGTCTTTAGTTTGCATAAGTTTCATTTTACTTTGACTTTAGGAACTTTCTGATAACAAAATTAGTATCATTAGATTTTTCTAGCCAATTGCAAAAATCAAAATTCTGGAAAAATACTTTGGTTAACAGGATTCTCTAGCAATAATTCACTTACTGATATCTATTTTTCTCTTAGCCAAAAATGAATTTTCAGAAACAAAATTGTTCGAAAAAACAAATGAACATTTGTGAACATTTTTTTTCTATAGTTCCTTCTTTTATATTTTTCACCATCAGTTCTTCATATAATCAGGGTTTTAACTCTAATGAATTCTATGACCTAAGGATGGCTGTTGTTTAACAGGCCAAATTTCAGTTTCTATTTAATGTATACAAACACCCCAATTGATAGTCCCTGAACATGTTCATAGTGCACAATTCAGTTAGGACACACCGTAGGTATTTCTAGTGAATGGTAAATCAGTTGATAAAGTACATTTGCCATGTATAATTGTCAGGTAGAGAATCTTAGTTTTGCCCTATTTGCAGAAATGGGTAATGCCATTTAGCATTTGGCCACCTTAATGCCTATTTGTTAAGTCCTCCTTCTGTCCCCAAATATTGTTTGCCTCCCATTTTTTTTAAAAAAATCTTCCACTTAAAAGTGTCTCATAACACAGCAAATGTAAATGAATGGATGTTTCCATTTTGTATTTTAAAAAATTAAGAAATATATAGTACAAATGTATTAACATCTTAATTGCATCTCCACTGAAAAGGAGATAGTAAAAGTTGTTCAGGGGAAAATAATAAGTTGTCTTGTAATTTCAGATAGAGATGTATGCATGTTTAGCTTTTAATTGTGGATGCTTTTATGTGAAACAAGTTCCACTGAAATCAACAATCTCAAGTAACTATATTAAGGGCTGAAATGTTTATTTCAGAGGACTCCATGTAATTCCTAAATCCATAACTTTCATTCAGAAAGGGTTATCTATACATACTGGAATCCTTCCCCAGGGAACTTTCCAAAATCTTCCATTTTGCATACTATCAAACTATGGTGTTCCCCTTTATTTTGTCTGCCTTAAAGATTTATTATCAGATTAGAAATTTTGGGTATAACAAAGTAGTCCCACCATCCCAATTTTTTCATTAACTAATTATAGTTATGGCTAAATTTAACTCCAAATGATTTCAACAGCTCATAAGCAACAATTGACTTTCAAGACTTATGACAAAGCTAGCTGAAAAGGGAGGCACATTATCCAATTGCTTTATACCACATCTCTTTTGTCTTTTTAAGGCTAGTACAGAATGCTGTTTTTGGTGGAAATATCTAAAAAGGCATCTTTTTGGCCATGTTTACAATGGCACACATTGTGGGCATAAGGGGCCAAACTCTGCCTTTATTACAATAATATAAATCCACTATCCTAAAAATGGAGCACAATTTGGCTCAATACAAATTGGAATGGCATAAGTCTTCAGACTAGAAATACCTTCTGGATAACAAGTCCCTAATTTTTCCTCCCCCACCAGAAAAGGCTATATAGGAATTATAGTGAGGCAGGATGTTACATTAGATATGAAATACAAGATCTCCTATCAGCATTTCAAGGAAAAATAGCATACTACACAATATCAAACCATATTATGACAATGTCCATTATCAGACACTAGTTGCAAAAATAACAAACACTTGTTATCTATGTATGTTTTTTTCCTAAACCAACGCAATTTGGTATCAACAAAACTTCTTCCTTGCCAGTTGTCTAACCAGTTCAAAGCAAGTAAATGAGATTCCATACTGGTGTCTTTGAGACAATGCATATATGTCCTTGCAGATATACCACAGAATAATCTTTCAGGTATAGTTTTACAAACGTCCTGAAATTGAAAGCAAGATGAACTGGTTTTCAGAAAACAATACTCCTTAGGAAGGTGTAATCTGCTCTGTGTCTTAAAAAAGCAATGTCACCTACATCTCACTGCCCCACTGAAAATGACCAATGCAAATTTACAAATAAAATGATAGAGAAGAGGTAAAGTCTACAGGACATGAAACAACCAGAAGATAAACATTACTGTAATGTTAATTTTTTGGAATGAGTGGTCTCTCATCTCTCTTTTTCCAGATGTTTGTTTTGCCTTCTGTCTTAGTTAGACGTGGTCTTCCCTGTTTCTTCCCAGGGGGAGGGCTAGCCTCATGGTTTTTTGCTATGCTTTTTCTTCTAGGCATCTCTTCCGGGGACTCTTGCTCTATGATGGGGTCATTACTTCCTTCTGGAACATGCTTCACAGCTTGATCCTCCGGGGTTGAAACCATGGTCCCACATTCACTGGTATTCAGATCCAAGTCTTCTAGGTAAAGTATCTTAGAATGCTGAGTGCTTTTAATAAAGGTTTTCTCCCTCTCCAATTTTCGACTTGGATTATGCTCATTCATGTCCACACCTGAGTCTAAGCTAGTATCGTTGCTCTCAGTCTTCCTGCCCTTCTTGAGATCAATGAATGAATGCCTCACTTGAGCTATTGGTTTGCCATCCAGTGACACAAACCATGCTCTTGGATTTGGACACTGTTTTCCTTTTGAAAGCTCCAGTAAGGTTTGCTCTGAAATGCCCTGAAGTTCTGATGAAAATGGTGTCATCACCACTGCTTCATTTAACGTTCCGGGGACAGAAACCGACTCCAGCAAGCTACTTGTGTAGCGGCCCCAGTTGGCAGTCTGAGGAGACAAGCCTTGTTGCCTATCTATAGCAACTGTTTCATCTCTGGATGTTGGTTCCTGCAAGTGAGCGAACATTGGCATTTTGGGCAATGTCTGTGTATAATTTTCGTGATTCATACTCTCCATCACAGGGGTGTAGACTAACTGTCCTTTTCTTGGTAACGTAGCTGACTTTGTAGCATGCAATTGCTCCTGGGAGTGAAATAACTCAGATGTTTGAAGCATAGCACCAGGCTGGCTATAGAGATGCATTAATTGTTCTGGGAGGGAAGAGAGTCCATAGATTTCCTCAGTCGTTGGGAGATACTGATTCTGTTCTTGTACATTTTGGGAAGGAGGAAGACTTCCGTTGAGATGTTTAACTGGTGGAAGATGTCTCAATTCTGTTTTGGCTTCCAAGGACTGGGGTGAGCTCCTACACTGGAGATTTTTACCAGAGAATTGGTATGGAGTACCTTCTGTGTAAACTTTAAAATTGTCCTGGACTTGCCTTTCCTCACCTTCAGCTGAAACCCGTCTCTGGGGGCTATAAAATGCCACTCTGGGTGAATACAACCTAGATTTGTCCTCTGGCTTCAAAGATTCTTTGGCTGCACCAATATGATTTATGTGAGTTGTTGAAGTTGTTTGGTCTTTTTTTAAAATGTCTAGTTTAGTTGGACTTTTCTTTCTCTTTTTTGGACGACCACATTTATCCCTAAAAAAAGAAGCAAAATAAAAAAGAAATAGTAAAACTATGTTTTAATATATATCAATGCAATTATCAGTAGTAATAGTTTAACCCCATCAGGTTTATTTATGTGATTTACAAGCTTATCTTTCTTGTAAAGAAAGAAAACATCCACTTAATTTTGGATTTTAGCAAATTGTATGTACCTACCTACATCTGAAGTAGACTATCACCACCACTAAATCTATATATTTTTTAATTGTACATTCAACAATATTCTTCAAAAACAGTATAAAAGAAGAGTGTTACAGAACAGACAAATTAGCGTTTCCTTTAAGTACAGAAAGTGGGCATGAATTGTAAATCAATTATCTTTCAAAAGCAAAATCAACCTGAGCACTAATCCGATGTTTTCAAACAGTGCATATTGTAATCAATTATGGCAAAAAAAATGCATTACCGTCTTATCCTGTCTTACCTGCAGTAGCAAAGCAGAAGTGCAAAGAACCCAGCAATGATAGTGATGGTGCCTCCTAATATTGCCGTGAGGAATACTGTGTGGTAGGCAGTGATATCTTTAGTAACTGTTGTAATAATGGAATCTGTGTTTTTAATCAGAGAAAGAAGATGCAGGGATAATAAAAGTTAGCATTTTCGTACTAGCACAGACTGAGCATTCCTGTATTTCCTGACTGGGTTTTTTCCTCTACATTCTGATACTGGATTTTTCAGAAAACAAGGAGACATGGCTGCAAGCCTCCAGCAAAAATGGAATAGGGAATTTCACATCAAAGAGCATCAGGTCTACAATGTATTTATTATAGAAGCAGTTTAATGGTATGCAAGAGGCCCTGAGATCAGTTTCATTCATTGTCTCAATACTGATGGGGTCCTACCTCAGTCAAAATCATTCAAGCAATATGCATACAGGTAATTCACGGGTTATAACAGCAATTGGGATCAGAATTTGGGTAGTTAAGTGATGTGATCATAAAGTGTGACATCACACAAACTTCATGGCTTAGCAATGGCAACCTCAGCAGTCTAGGCTGCCATTGTACCCTTAAGAAAGCACAGGTTGTTAAGCAGAAAGAGGTGGCAGTTCCAGGCAAAAAAGCCAGTGGGTGAGAGCTGCAGGTAAGAGCTATGAACAGATGGGGAATTGCTGGGGAAGGCGGGCAGGTGTGCAGGTGCAATGTGGGGCACTGTAGGGAGGCACTATGGAGTAAAGGTAGACACCTAGGCCTGCACATGGCTAGATGCCACAGGTGGATATTACAGAGCACACATGGGGGTATGGGTGCCACAATTGGTGGGAGGTGCCAAGGGCAGGTATTATAGAGAGCACACTGGTGAAAAAGCATTTGAGACCTGCTGGCTTTCCCATTGATTTTTGCTTGTGGGAAAACTGTCAGGAAATGTTAGAAACCATGATCACTTGACCATGAGCACACTGCAGTATCATAATTGCAAGCCAGGCACTGGTCACCTGGGTTGCAATCATGTGACCATGGGGATGCTGCAACGGCTGGAACTCCAAGGAATGGTTGTAAGTCCCCCTGATTCAGCACTGTCATAACTTTAAATGTCACTGAATGAGTAGTTGTAACATGAGGACTACCTGTATATAGAGAGCATTTATCCAACAAGATACATAGATCTGGGTCATATTAGATAAGTAAAGCATACTATATTCACATGCACTTGTTCTTCCTGCTGAGGGTTTGAATTCACATTCAAGCAAAAATTTAATATCCAACCTGAGTAGACTGGATATGAGAGTGAAGCTAATGATCCCGACCCACATGCACATTAGATTTTGAAACATGTACTTTAAACAGGACTTTGCTTCACTCTAGGAACTCTTTCCTAGGCTCTTATTAGGAACTGAATTACCATGTGTACTAGATGTTTAGTAATACAAATCTGTGCATATCCTGTAATACCTAATTGGAATATTATAAGAATATTACAATTTATTAGTACTCAAAGTCATATTTTATAAGCCTAAAGAAACTCTACCTTCAGTATAAACAATAGAGATAAATCTCATCATCCCAATTAAATTTGGGAAGAGTTAGACTTCTATGTCCTGTGTTCTGACTTTATGAAAATAATAAAAATTAAGACAGACATAACATAATTTCCATTTCCCCAGTTTTACCTCTAGTTCCAGACAATGGGGCTGCTATCCAATATCCCAGACTTGGAGCAGTATACGTCCATACTAAGTGATCGTCCATGTTCTTTACCATTCCCAAGCCACGATTAATCCAAGCACCTATAAGACGAAAATAATAATAAGATGCTTTCTTTCAGACTTTCAACTAAAAACAGATGAATCAAAAGCTTTAGGCAACTCTTTTATACTCATAATGATATACGCATAATGAATGTATTAGAGGCAGATCCACCTAATCCAGCATTGTTTTTCTAAAAGTAGTTAATGATGTACTGCTCTATCTTTTAAAATACCTAAAACAGGTAGTCCTCATTTAACAATGGGTTGTTTTACATAGGAAGTCATAAAACTGGCCTGCCTGAAACATGATCATGTGATGCTCAGGGGTCAGGCGGGCCAGTTTTATGATCTGTTACAGTGTTACATGGTCATGTGATTGTTTTTTACCGGCTTCAAATGAATGGGTTTGCTTTATGTCTGTAATATTTGCTTAACCACCACTCCGAAAAGGGCTGGAAAATTGCTTCTGGTCACATTTGCAATCATAATTCCAGGATCAATTACGGTTGTATTTTGAAGCATAATCCAAGTTATGTCTCAAAGCAGTTAAGCATTTATTATTAAAACGTACACTTTAAATCATATGCAGGTTTTTCCAAGAATGTATATAGAGGTCAGCCCTTTGGTGACATCGGCAATTGGGACTGGAATTTCTGTTGTTGAACAATGCCACTGTAAAATGTGAATCACAAGGACACGTTGCTTAGTGACAGCAAGCCTGGCAATCCCAGTTGCCATTGTAACCCTAGGATGTGTGAGGTTTTAAGTGAGAAGAGGCAGGCATCCAAGGTAAGGAGTATGTGGGGAGGGGTATCATTGCTGCGGGCATGTGGAGAGTGCTACAGATGGATGCTAGGGAGCTTGAGCAGGTCTCAGGTAGGTAGTTGGTGGAGGCTGTGGGAGGGCAGGTAGTGGCTTCAGGCAGATGGGATAGTACTGCAGTTCGGCAGGGGGTGCTACAGACTATGATCCCTGGGATCCGATGCTCCATAGTGAATTCCTCAACAACAACAACAACAAAAAGATGGTGAAATTTACTATATACTGGAGCAACCTGTAACCTTCCCTCCTGGCTTCCTCATTGACTTTGCTCGTGAGAAGCTGGCTGGGAAGTTCACAAATGGCAATCACATGTGACATGCCTCACTACATCATCATAATCGTGAGCAGGGTACCAGAGTGCCCAGATTGCAATCACACCTTTTAAAAATGCTGCACCTTTTTAAAAAAGGTTGTAAGTTGTTTTTTTTTTCAACTCTACCACCACCATAAACATAGACATAAACTGAGGTCTATCTGTAAACTGCAACCTGTGCTCAAAAACTAAATAAAAATCCTAGATCAGATGGATTTGCATTTAGGAAAGCATTTTTAGGATAATCTCAATGGGGATTTTTTTTTTTTTTACAAATAAAGGAAGCTGATTAAAACTAAGCTTTCTTCCAATCATAAGCAATACCACTTGGCTATGAGAAAGCACTCACCTGTTTTCATATCGAAAGTCCAGGCTGAGATAGGTTCTCCTGCTTTTACCGCACTTGTAGGCAGAAGAGGTAAGGTGATCTGAATGGAGCCATCTACCTGCAGTTCTTTCCCACTCGAAAATACGTTTACACAAATTGCAGCAAGGGGAGTCAGTTCAATACTTTTGAAACCTAAACATACAGAAAAGGCGGTGTTAATTTACTTTTCCTGTTAATGAAAACATATAATAGTTTTGAAACAGCTTGATAAAATGAGTGCTGTTTGTAAGTCATACAGAAAGGTTTTTTTTCTCCATCTCCTGTGATGGAAGTGTCAAACTCGCAGCCCACGGGCCAGATGCCTCACACACTGGCCGGATGCATCATGCACTGGCCCATGCCCGGCTTAGTGAAGGGGAAAAAAGTTGTGACGACAATGCAAATTTGACACCCCTGTCCTATGGGTTCCTGTAAAACCATTATAGCTATTTCATCTGAACCTGGAATTATTCCACTCCTGAAGTAGAGACAAAAGTGCTTCTGCATAATTACTGGTAGTAGCAGCTTTGTTTTATTTAATGTTTTATTACATTTCATACATAGATTGTTATGTCTGTAAAAAAGTGTCATTTATCATAGTAATTGATTAAAGCAATCATATGTGAATTTAAAAACAGAATGAGTACTGTCAAGATTTTTGTATATTTCTTTAAAGTAGATGGTCATCCTCCCCTATACTATTTTCTGCTGAGCAACCCCCTTTTCCTTCCACTTGTATTTTTCTAATTGTCTGATTATCAAATTAGATATTAGGTAAAACTATCCCACTAAAGTAAAAAGAAGTCTGAAGACATATGCTCTAATGAGCTTCATTTCAGTTTAGAAATATGAGCAATGTTGAGCTTAACCATCAGATGGAGATAAAAACAGAAAAGCACTTACGTTTCCAACAGTTCATAATTAAATATGGAAGCATGTTTAGATAACACCCAACCCAAGAGAGAGATTAAGAAGTGACAGATCCCATTCACCACCCAGGAAGGATTTGGCAAATGAATGTTTCATACTAAAGTACTTTCCAAGGAATATTGACATGTGAATACTTGCCAATGGATTGATACAGCAAAAGGGACCAACTACCAGTTCTGATTTGTAGAGTGTTTTATCTCTGCAGGCATTCAAAAAGCCAAACAAGCAGTAATGTAAATTGGCTAACCTTGATTGAATATACCTTCTCTCCAAAATTCCAAGCTATTTCTTAGAACTATTAATGTTAGAATTGTTGGGTTGTAGGGGTTCTCTGAATCTGATTTTTCATTTGCAAATATTTCATAGCCAAATTCTTAGATACCCCAAAACATATTAATTCTTTAAAAAGATTGTTTCTCAAAAAGTATATTGTTTTTGCATCATCATTTTTTTGTGTTTCCAGGCATCTAAATTGTCTAACTTGTCAAAAAATTTTTTTAATAATTTCCTTGTATTTAATATCTTTTTCAGAGGTTCTGTCCTTTGGTGGATAAATTACTCCATTCCACTCTTCCTTTGCATTATCTACTTTCATATGGTAAGTCCATTGATTTATTCATAAGTTCTTTGTAAAAAGTAACCTTGTGTTAATTTGGAGCAGTGGTCACCAACTGGTGGTCCGTGGACCACTGGCGGTCCGCGAGAAAAATTTTGGTGGTCTAAAGAAAAATTATTTGCATTTTTTATATTGCACTAAATCAGGATCCTCAAACTACAGTCCCTGGGCCAGATACATGTAATTAATGTTTGTGCTGCTGCAGAGTCTCTCCCTTTGGGGTCTTTTGTGTGGGCCAGAGTGGGGCAGAAATTCTGACGGGGTCTGCTTTAACCTCCTGGTGTGGGGCTTTGGGCGAAGGCTGGAGGGAAGTGCCGCTGGTGGCGAAAAGTTGGAGGGGCTTGTTCCAGTGGGACGTGGCTTGGAACGGGCTGACCATCTCAGCCCGTTGAGCCTCCAGGTGCCGGTACCTGGCCTTGCACTCTTGCAGGTCTTCTCTCTGCTTGGAAAGTCTATGCTTGCAATCTTCAGTGAGGTGCTTCTGTTGAACCTCCTTCTCGGTCAGATCCATTTTGAACTGAGACAGCTGTTTTGCCAACTCTTTCTGGTGGTGGCTGCTTAGCTACAACAACTGCTTCCTGTTGGGGCCCTAAGGAGCCCAGGCAGACAGGCAAAGGAGTGGCTGGGAGGGGAGGGGTGAGTAAAGGCTGGTGAGGCACCCCTCGACGTGAATCACATCGAGTTGGCCACGCCCACCCAGTCACACGACCACCTAGCTACGCCACCCAGCCTGTCATTAGGCAGATCATATTAGCGATCTGTGGGATTAAAATTATGAATTTAGCAGTCCCTGAGGTCCGTAAGGTTGGTGACCCCTGATTTAGGACATAAATACTATAAAAATCTTGGCCTCCTGTAAATTAGCTTCACCCTCCACATATTTACCATGATCCTTAGTCAGTATCTGTTCTGATTGTTTAGAAGTTAAATTTGTTGTTTATGTTGCAATACTGCAGTTACAACTATAAACTAACCAGCAAATATCAGTTAACTATACCATATGTTAACCATCATTAAATGAATGGTTGTAAGCTGAGGACTATCTATGCTTCCTCCTGAATGGTAGGGAAGAGGGGTAGAGTCATTAATATGTCAATTATGCAACAATCTTTCCTGTTTGCTACAATCTTTCCTTTTGGCTAAAGTAACTATCTCAAAAACATTGAAAAAGTTTAAGGTAAATTTTATTTCCAGATAAATAATTTATTTAAAAAACAAGCAAACCACAAGAATTTTTGAGGAATATTTTTATTAAAAATGGTTTTATTCACATTTTCCTCCCTTATCTTGCTACATTAATAAAGTATAGATTACGTTTCCCTGTAGCAGAAATATTGAGTACATATGCCTAAAACCTCTCCTTCAAATGATATATGCATCTATGGTCTATTCTCAAATTAATATAAACTTCATTTCTTCTCTTTTTGGTTTATTTTTTTTTGTCCTACTTATCATCTTTGTCATTTTCCCCTATTGCTGATATTTATCTATTTCATTACAATGAAAAATAAACGTAAAATTTCAAGTAGAGATATGTTGAACATTTTGGCTTTGGAACTGTAGCACATCTGGAATGTAAAGTGTATCATTGTGTAGTTTTATCAGCTTATAGTCTCAAGAATAATGTCTCCTTATGTCTGCTAAATATAAACCGTTATTCATCTAGGAGGTTACATTAAAAAGGCCACAATAAGGGGATGAATACTGGCACAGAGCTTTTAAAGATGAGGTAAGAATGATAAACCCTCAAGAATTAATGATCAGTCTGACTTACCTGATTTATTTAAAAGAATTCCTGTTGTATAGAAGAAATGCTCCACTTTTAAAAACTGTTGTGGCACTGTAAGATACGCTGTTACATTAGTAATATGGTGGTTTACAGGAAGTTTAATTAAATATTTTGGAAACTGAACACTTGGCTGAGATTTTGCCTCTGAAAAATAGGTAAAATTTTAAACCAGGAATTTAGTAATGCTTTGTTTAAATAATTTTATGACCAAATAAGAAATACTTTTTTATCTCTTTCCAAGCAATTACATGTAGATGCAAATGTTCTAGAATTACGCTACATGAAAGCTAACATTAAAAAGATGAGAGCATAAGACAAAACAATGATGTATGCAGTATCCAATTACTAAGGTGATCCAAACAGAGCTTATAAAGCTGTCTAAAAATATAACCAAACTTAGAAAAAAAAAATGAGCTTCATTTATACACTTCTTCCTAACAAAAATATTCTTATTCTGGTTTTGTCATCTTTAATCCTAATTCAGAATGCTCCATCATCATTTATACTTTAATTCTAACCTGAAATAGATTTTGACAGGAAAACCAAGAGAGAATATCTGCCCTAGTCTTTTGCAACTGCAAATACAGATAGTCCTTGACTTACAACAGTTCCTTTAGTGACCATTCAAAGTTACTGAAAAAAAATGACTTATGACCATTTTTCATACTTACATTTGTAGCATCATGTGATCAAAATTCAAATGCTTGGCAACTGACTCATACTTATGACCATTGCTGTGTCCCAAGGTCATGTGATCCCCTTTTGACAAGCAAAGTCCATGGAGATGCCAGATTTACTTAATAACCGTGCTTGCACCCCATATATTAAAACACAATGCTGGAAACTGTACTGACTTCGGCACATGGCTATATCTTAAGAGAAAATGGTTTGCAAACCTGGGTATGTTCTGTTCTTACTTACCAGATAATTTCCCAGTGATTAAAACTGTATCATCAAATAACCATATATTTGCTTGGCTTTGGGGGAACAATGAAAGTGTAACAGATGAATATACTGTGGGAGATAAAATAAAATTATGTAAGTATGTATTAAAACACTGTTGCCCTGAAGTGTAGTAAAACTTAGATGGAAAAAGTTGTATCATCTGAAAAACATAATGATTATTTTGATTTTGATTAAATAAGGCTCAGGCTCAATTCCATGGATGTCCATTTAGCAGACTTCAGATACAATGGATCACTTTTCATTTTGAATCACACTTCTGAACAAAGGATGCCTGTTGGTTGGTAAAGAAGAGTCAGGCAAGACTCCTTTCTCAGGTCTCTACTAAATCAAATTTTTTCCATAATGAATTTTTCATAAGATCATCGTAAGAGTCATGGTGGTGCAGTGGTTAGAATTCATTAATGCAGGCTAAGTCTGCTGACTACCATCAGTTCAATCCTTACCGGCTCAAGGTTGACTCGATATACTTCTGAGGTCAGTAAAATGAGGACACAGATTGTTGGGGGCAATATGCTGACTCTGTATACCGTTTGAGAGGCGGTAAAGTACTGTAAAGCGGTATATAAGCCTAAGTGCTATTGCTATCATTGTATGACCAAAGTCCTAAATCTCTCAACACGTTTTTATATTTTTCTATGTATTACTCATATACTTGACACACTTTATTTTAAAAATGGAAATTTATAGATTTTTGTATATAAGCCTAATACATTTGATTATAGACATTAACATAATGAAAAAAGTATGGAAATAACTTCAGCTAAAATTTAGGAGTACAAATAGAAATCTGATTTTTACAAAGATCAGGATAGGATTTGCTTTCCTTTCTTCTTGCCTTGGGGAGGAGGAAATAGAAGATTTATGTCTGAGCATAATTCTTTGTAATTTTGCTAGAAATGCTCTTCACTTTTTGGGTGAAGAATATATTCAGGGTTTTTTTTCATATGTATCTTAATAAAAAGAAATGATGAAAGTAACAATACATATAGAAACTTACGTACTGATATCTCCATTTCTCCCCCTTACATACAGAAAACCTTAATATGGATTTTAATTTTACATTTCATCTGCTAAACTTGTTATTTTTTGGCGGGGAAGCATGAGTATATGTCCATTTATGCATGCATATTGCTAGTTGAAAACACAAGTTATTTTCAACAAAGATTCGACCAGATGATACAATAAGAGATCTAAAAAACTGGGTTTGACAGGGAAAGCGTTAGCCAATGAATGCAATACATCAATGGCAACAAAAGAGCAAATACATAAAATTCTGTACTATGGTAGAACATTTAGTAAAGATGGAAAATGGATTGACAAAATTTAATTGTGCAAAGGCTAAGAGAAAGATAATGTATCACATGTGGTCTGTTGTGAGAAATGAATGTCAAATGTCTGTGCGTAAGAGCATACTCCTCATTTTATTATATGGAAGTGAGGATTTGGTTTGTTAGGAGAAATAAAGGTAAATTTAATGCAGTGAGAATGGATTATTTAAGTGGCATGTGTATAAAAAATAAAGATTGGGTGAAGATTGAAAGGGTGATGAATACAGAAAAAAGCAAAAATAAGTGACCAGCATGAAATAAATGAATTAAGTGATTTATTCAATGAAAATAAAAACCAAATCACAGAACAAATATAAAAAAGGAAAGTAAATGAATAGAAAGGAAGGGAAAAATGGAGAAGGCTAGATAAAAAGCATATGCCACCTAAAGAACTACACAAATTATCTTTTAAAAATTGATTTAAAGAAAATATTTTGAAAATGGTGTTGTTCAGCTTGCTTACTTACTTGGCATTCTCCCAGTTTTCCAAGGTAAAGGTGTTAACATGTAACCATCTTTATAAGAAACTATGGTTAAACTCAGGCCTAGCTGATAGGGAACCTGTATCAGTACTGCTCCATTCTTTCCAGTTAGAGTAGAATTTGTTTTAGTATAGTTGACAAAAATGTCTACAACAGCGTGGTGTAGGTACTGATGACTGATTATATCATTAACTTGCACTTTTAGGGTAAACATAGGTCCTACAAGAAAAAGAAAAGAAAAGAACAATCTCAATTATTTTAGTTAAATTCCAGATTTTTTTTAAAAGAGTGGGGTCTCTGATTTCTTGGGGATGCATTTTTGAACATCTAGGAAAATATTTGCAGGTTTCATGACTTGAGAGAAAACAAAACACAATCCATATTAAGTGGATTGCTAAGAGTACTATGGAGAAATAGATATTTGTATTTTCTTACTTATATGCTATAAAGTATATACTGATTTTGAAGACCCATAAGGATGACTCATGTATATTCCCACCTTCAAGTGAAAAAGTGGAGAGAAAGTGTGATGTGAGCTAACCAGTACAAAGTTCCTCTGAATATTTATGAGGTACATGGTGGAGAAAATAGAATAAATGCATTTCACCATGCAAGATAGGTTGATCTCAATCACAGTTCCTATTTGGTAGTTCACAGTTTTCTTCAACACATATTCAGTTACACAAATAACAATCAAAATATTGTTTCATCTGAAGCTAAATATAATTTTTATAGAATTTGGAAGCTGACAGTCTCTGAAAAATTACACCTACAGAGAGACAAAAGATTTATGTACTCTATATGTTGCAAATGCAGAAAGCAAGATTATTTGCATCCTAATATAAATTGCTGTATAATTGTTTTGCTAAACTTTGTTCAGCAATAGTGAAGGATCTTAAATCTTATTTTTCCTGGAATATTTTGTTACCAAAAAGCAAATTCCCATACCCCCCCCCCCCAAAAAAAACCCTTGTTTTTCCTGAAGATGCCATTTCACTACAACAGCTAATATTGTCATATTAGCTGTCATATAATAGTCTATAGCTACTGTTTTGATTTTAAGGCCAAGAAAATTTAACCTGGAATAAAAATGCAAAGGTTAGAAAGCTGTTTCCAGAAAGCATTAATTAGGAAAAATAAATAATGTCCCTGTTTGATGGAATTGGTCCTGATTGGAAACTGAAGACATCAGGTATGGAAGCACAAGTAGGAGAACAGGATCATACTACAGATAGTGACGAACGCAGCATCTCTAATCACTTTAGACCCGCACTTTCATGTTCTGGTATAGAGATTAAATATACATTAACTCAGATAAAACACGTTACCTTTGGCTCACAATTTCTTGAATTACCAGTTAGAAAATACTTAGTAACTAATGTGAAATTCTTGGGTGGACTGACAGCCTTCCAGTTGCAACCAATTTTTCATTGACTATTTCAAGTTACAGTGAAGGTAAACAAATAGAGCCTTATGTCCAATCCCCAACGTTACAGCTGCTACAGTGAAGTCGTGTGATCAAAATTTGGGCATTTGGCAGCTTGCTCTCACTTATGACTGCAAAGTTGCTACAACTATCTCTACTCACCTCTCTCTACTTACCCATTCCTCCATCTCTGCTCTTTTGGGCCCCTGCATTTCATAGTCTCTGTTGCCTTGCACTCTGCTGCTTTCTGTCCTTTGCTGTCTTTTTGTTTTTGCTGATCAAGCATATTCAGCCTGGCTCTTCACAAGCACCTACTGACCGCATGAGGTCTTTTTCCCAAGATCGCATGGGGCAGTTTCCTCATAATATTACAGAATTACATGTGGCCAGCAGGTTGCCTCGTGATGGGCTACACTAGGCATGCCCAAGTAGCAATGGACAACAGAAGGTGGACAAGGTCTGGTAGGGAGATGAAGTAGGGAAGCACAAAGCTACAGGTGCCTTGGAGTACAGGGCAATGAAGGCAACTGAGGCTTTGCTCCATGCTGCTGGGCCATGATGGCTGGTGCTTCATGCTGTAGTGCTGGGCCCATCTCATGTCATCCAATCACATTTCCAATAATGAGGATAGAAAGATGTATGGAAGGGAAATGCAGCTATTGCATCCAATGGACATTTTCAAGCACTGGAAGATAGTCCTTCTTGGAAAATCAGGTGAGTCAAAGTATTGTACTGATTATTTGTTGTAGAACTAAGAAAACCCACATTTATGTTCCCCAGTTCACTATAGAGCTTAATGGGAGTCTTTAGGACAGTCTCTTCTCCTCCTGATTTCCCTCACAGATTTGTTGAGGAGGCCATAAAATAAAAGAATATCCTCCCTCTCTAGTAGCCCACCCTGAGCTTCAAGAAGAAACACAGAATACAAATGCAATAAATAATCTAGTCTGTTCAAGACTTTGAAGTTCACTAGCACACATTATTGTGCAAAGCAGCTTCCATATTGGCTCTATACTAGCAAGCAATCAGTTCTGGTGTTCAGAAATAAACTAAGTGCTTTTTGCTTATTTATTATTGCTACTTATTAATGTAATCAATAATGGGTGAATGCATATTAAAAGAATATATATCCTCCGTGGAAACAGCAATGGATTCCTGGGCGCTATGCTTTCAGATATGATTGATTTCCATTTGAATTCCTGCCGACGAAGGCTGGTTCACATGTTTTCTATAGCTAATGTAAGGACAGACACTTGTAGCATCATCTTCTGTTTTTCTTGTAAACAAGTTCAAGATTCTGACATTCTTTTAATACATGTGGAGGCAGTCTCTCCTGTAACAAATTGTCCATGTTTAGGATCAAACTGCTTATTTAGAAATCTCACTTCCTCAGATTCTAATAACTGGGTATCATCCTCTTCACAGCTGTTTAATGACCTAGTTTTGTTCAATATTCTCAAATATAGGACTATATGGCTATCATATAAAAGCTTCAGTTCCACAAATATATGCTTAAAGACAAGGACTGAACTGCAAAGGAATTACTATCAACTAAATATACAGGCTTGGGATATAAAATGCTTTAAGTTTTGTTCTCCAAATATAAAAAGAAATGCTTATTGAAGTCAGCACTTTCCAAATTCTGTTTTTATTCTCTCAAAGAGTACTTCTTAAATACAAATAGAATCTTGAATTTTATATTTGAATCGGCCCATATTTCATTATATGCATTTTGAATACCCTTTTCCTAAATTCTTATTTTCTAGTAATTACATACCATGACAGTTGCCTCTGGAAATCTGGGAAAAAATGGTTGGGGAGAGGGAGAGTAGTGCAAGGTGTTAGAAAACTAAGTGAGGATATGGAAGGCAGCTGCAATGCTATGCAAAACAAATCAACTTCATGAGCTGTCAGAAATGGCAGTTGCTATGGGCTGCCGTTCAGGTTGCTGGACGTAAGGAGGATGATAACCATAACAGAATGTCATTAGAGCTGGCAGAGCCGTGGACTAGAAGAGTCCCTTAATAAGGTCTAGAATTCTACCATTGTTCCCACTGTCTGACAGGCTGATGAGAATTTCTCCTGCCACTTTGAGTGGCAAGGAACTGGCTTGCATAGGGAGGAAAGAGGGGTTTCTCCTTTGCTTCTCCACTTGGTACTGTCGTTGTGCTCATAAGATCTTCTGTCATAATGTATGGAATTTCACATTCTCTTCCTCGGCACTAAATCAGTCCAGAAATCTTTTTACTGTCTTTTCAGTTTGCCCTATTTCAAAAATTCCTTATGTATGCTTCAGATTTTACTAGTAGCTACCTCCAAAATGCATTTCCATCTCACTTGCTAAAGATCTTGGGAGCTCCCACATGCAGGGTGATTTATTTGCTCATAGCTGAATGAACATGATCATTTTCCATGTCTCACTCATGCTATTTCCTCCTCAGACTTATTAGGGATATGAAAGGTGCACTGACCTACCTATAAAGAAGAAATCTGTTACGCTGAAGATATCAGTCTTCTCACTGCATTAACTCAGCATGCACAGTATCACAGAAGGCCAGCAATAAAAGTGGCTAATAGATTCAGCTCACCCCAGTAGGACAACTCAGAGGGAAGCTGTGCCTCTCTGTGTGAGTCTGTCACAGGTTTGGCCAGGCACATAAACACAAGACTTTTTCCTCTAGTGAACTGATAAGTAGAAGATGAGAATAGGAGCTCTGTTTCTCTTAGGAAGATGTTACTATAGGAGAAGGAATGGCTACTGTGCTGCCACTATAGCAGGCCTGTCAAACTGGAGGCCCGTGGGCAGGATGCATCACATGCAGGCCACTCCCACCCAGCTGCGCAAAGGCAAAAAACATTGTGATATGTCACGATATGTCACGTGACGTGATTGAGTTTGACACCTGTGCACTACAGTCTTAAAAAACAACAAAGTTAACCGTGGGAAGAATTGTTATTTGCATTTAAGTGTACTATGCATGTTTCGTGCATTTTTAAAATTCATAATGAATACTTCAAGAAAGAGGACCGCTAAACTGATTACCATTTCCATTCATATATTAATTCCAAAACTTAGTTAAATGGGGCTGTTTTAACTTTTCACTGCATAAATCCTATTTTAAATTAATACAACAGGAATTGTTTTTTTTAACCTCTGTATTGCTAGAAAAGGCCATGAGAAATTCGTATTATGAATAAAATGATGATGTTACCTAGTTGGCTAATGAAGTGCCTGCAAGAAAATAACCAAACTCAGAGAGCACGAAGGACTCTACAGTTCAACCCTCAGCTACAAATATTCTCTTCTATTCCACATAATGATGACCTTCTAAATAAACCATAATTGGTATAGTGGTAAAGCTTTATATCAATCAAGTCAATATGCAACCTAATTTGGGCTTCAATTGTACAAATACACTATAAAAACAGAACTTTTCATGTTTTTATTCTACCTGAATTGCTTAACATCTGAATTTCTCCATAACTAGTAAAATGCAGAAATGATGGGCAACAGTTAGTGGCATTTTATCATGCTTGGTGGACATATGAAAAAGCTAGAAAATTTTGGACTCAAATATATTCACTGATTCAGAGGCCTTTGAAGATTAATATACAATTAAGACCAAAGGATTTTCTTTTGGGGTTGATGGACGAATAGTTGGAAAAAAGATCTGAAATTTTGTTTTCGTATATAATTGCAAGGAGGTATTATATGCAGAAGAAATAGAAAGATTAGGCTTTGCCCACAATGGAGGAACCGTTGGTGAAAATGATGGAACTAGGCAAAATAAAC